AACGCAAAACAAAAGGCGTTATAACGCTAATTTAATACCATATATAAATTCCAAACAGTGGCCTATTAATGTATGGAAGGAAGAACAATGTTGATTTAAATGAATTGATCTAGATGTACGTTTTATTATATGCCCGAAAGAATTTCGGGCATATTATGTTATACCCCCTGGCGTCCGTACGTGCGTCCGTCCGTCTGTATGTCTGTCTGTCCGTCCGTCCGTAAGCAATTTGGTTTCGGGAGCATAACTTAAGTTCCATTTGGCCCACAATATTCAAACTTCATAGGAGGATTGTTATTTGAAGGAGGTAATACTTTATAACCTATAAGTCACCAAGTCATCTTATATTGGCACATATTAAAGAGTCTTTATTAGTTTATGACAAATTGTTTGCATAATTACTGTGCAAATGGAATGAAAGTTATTGTAAATGTATATTGTATTATTGTATACGAGTTTATATCTTGAGCAATAAATTCAGATCAATATTGGTCTTCCTTTCTCGCGAATTTGATTAGTATAAATATGGTATTAAATTGGCATTATAATGTGTTTTAATTTGCGTTATTACGCCTTTTAGTTCGCGTTACTACGCCTTTATTCGCATTACTACGCCTTTTGATTTGCGTTATTACGCCTTTATTCGCGTTATTACGCCTTTTGATTCGCGTTATTACGCCTTTATTCGCGTTATTACGCCTTTTGATTCGCGTTATTACGCCTTTTGATTCGCGTTATAACGCCTATATTCGCGTTGCTACGCCTTTAATTGCGTTATTACGCCTTTTGATTTGCGTAATTACGCCTTTTGATTCGCGTTATAACGCCTTTATTCGCGTTATTACGCCTTTTGATTCGCGTAATAACGCCTTTATTCGCGTTATAACGCCTTTGTATTTTTATTTTTTATTTCATTTGACACTATTAGGCTTTCGTATCTATGAATATAATTATCAATGTAACATTTAGACTTGCTACTTAAAGACCCATTATGCCCCAGAAATGCTTTCATTTTTATTTCTGAATTTTTTTTCATTTTTGGTATTCTTGTATTATAGTTTTTAACAACTTACTCATTGGCCATTTACCTGAACTGTCTCCTTCTGCTGTTGCTTTTTTGTTGTAAATTAATCTTTAGTCTTTCTAAAGAAGTAAATATTTATTCATTTCTGAGGCAAAATGTGCCTTTAAAAAGTGGCCTAATTTGATGGTTCTTTTTCTATATGCCCTTGGTTTGACCTATTTTGTAAACTAGCAGATTATATTATATTGAGATTACTTGTTTAAAGACCACCCACTAGGATGATATGAAAAGATATTCAAATGTAGGACAAACAAAAAGTTAAGTCTGTACAGGTTAGGAAGTACGCGCTGCAATATGCTGTCCTATATTCCTGAGTTCCTGTAGTATTTTGAAAGTCTAAAAACTTAACCATAACTCTGTATCCTATAGATTGCTAGGCCACAAAGGAATGTTTGACAGTTGTTGCTTTACATATATTAGCCAAGATCAAACCATGGTTAGTTCTTAAGACAATTATTCAAGAGAATTGTTGATCACTTGAAATGGAAGGAAGAGGCTTTGCTGGCCAAGTGAATTTGTGTTTGTATGCAGAACATAGATTATCTCTTAACATGTATAAATTTTTCTATGATGCCTTTGGTATTTATTCATAAAAACCGTGTCAATTTTTTACACATGAATTTTGTATATCGTTTGGAATTACAATTCATTTTAAATGTTAATAATAAAGTCTTCAGTTCATTTCGTTATCGAGATAAAGGATTATATTATATATGAGCCGTGTCACGACAAATCAAACATAATGGGTTTGCGACCAGCATGGATCCAGACCAGCCTGCACATCCGCGCAGTCTGATCAGGATCCATGCTGTTCGCTATCAGTTTCTCTACTTGCTATAGGGCTTGTAAGCGAACAGCATAGATCCTGATCAGACGGCGCGGATGCGCAGGCTGGTCTGGATCCATGCTGGTCGCAAACCCATTATGTTGGTTTTGTCGTGACGCGGCTCATATATAGATTGAATATTGTGGAATATTGTTGTCCTTGCAATAATTTCATGGGACAAGAACAGATTTTTAAGAAAACAACTTCTGCTAATTTAACCATTTACTTTTATTTTCACAAGAATTTTCTGCCTTAAACAAAGATGTTTATTTATTAAGAAGATGTGCACATATGTTTACGGTCATATTTTAGATTCTTTTGACTACATGCCTTCTCGTGAAGCACATTCAACGTTCAAGGAAAATATACCATATATGATTCAATATTATTTCCGCCTACAAGATCCTTTGTTTTTATGTGCCTGTTTTTATGATGATAGCAAGATGTCATTAAAGACTTAATAAGAGGCAACTGTCGTAATTCAATTCTTTTTAAAATGAGGTTTCACTTTGTTTCCAGATTTTTTTACAACAACCAACTGCATAAGGATGCTTTTCAAATGGTTTTTGAAGAACATTTCGGTATAATAGATACGAATCACAAATCTGTAATTTTGTACTTAGTGTAATATATGAGATATAATGATTTACAGTCATCCACATACATGTATATGTTAAATAAAAATAAAAGCCTATGATAATAAAATAGAGAGATATAAAATCCCTAAATAAAGTCCGAAACGGAAAAATTGATAATATTGCAGGCTTGGTTTGATTGAGCCTGTTCCTGGACAGTACTGGAAAGTGCAAGCTACTTTCCACACCCCCTAACACCGGCTAAAGCAGTATTCAAATTTAAAATGCAATGGTAAAATTTTGAATTTAGAAACATCCGCAGATGTGTTCATACGACGGTGATCATGGAACCTTCAATGTGACACGTAAGTGCCATTCCACGAAAAGCGGCGTGTGCGGTCCCGAAGTAAACAAATTGCTTGTGCCCTAAACGAGAAAACAATGGGCGGAACTCAACAATGTGGAATTTCGAAAGGGGATCAAACAGGTCTGGAGCGTACCTTAGCTTATTTTGAGTATACGCCAATTACAGTCCCTTGGGCCAAAGTGTCCTATTTGTATGAAGTCTGACGTGAAAATTGCTTTTACTAAATGATTTAAGAAAAGTTATTTACCATTAGGGAAACGAAATTTAGCCAGATAATCCTATTGTGGTTAACATGGTTAACTTGTTCTTCTTCTTCTTTTTTCTTTTTCAATATACCTAGACATGAGATCATCGTCGGAAACCAAGGTACACATTCCGAAAATACTACATTTAATACATGTATGGGTCACCGAGGATGACATGAGATATAATCAAGGAAAATATTGCTATAAAACGTAAACACCATTAGAAAAACAAAAGATAGCCATATATCTTTTTTCTAATCAAGATGTTTAAAACAACATTTTTTTTTTCATTTTTTCTTTATTTCAACATACCTAAACATGAGATATAATAAAGGAACAAGGAAAATATTATTTTTAAAACGATCTGTATGACCGTAAAAAGAACACAACAGATTAAATGTTTAAGTGTAACAACAATCTATAGCATCAATACCACACCTTAAATTTATTGATACGCGATCACTTAGGTCCATAAAAAATCAATAATTTTAGAACTGCATTATGTTAATATAAGAGAATGATTGTTTTTGACAATTTTTCCTTAATTTTACTCTTTAATAAAAATTCATATATATTTTAGTTATATTATTAATCAGTTAAAATTAATGCCTTACTTGTCTGGCAGAAATTCAAGTCAAAACCGTACAAAAAAGAAAAATAACAAAGGATTTTGTATCCCATACAAATATTTACAAATGAACAGGAAAACTACGGTTTATTTAAAGCAAGAGTGGAAACATATTTAAGTTTTGTTAAAAGTTCAAAATGAGAAAAAAGAAGAAAGAACATTCTCTCATATGGCTTTACTTTGATTTTATTGTAATTTTATCTCTGTTCTGTATGTATATATAGATGAGACTATTATAAAATAAATAAAAGATGTCATTGTTTGCAGAAATATTCAATTCATTTCTATAGTCAATGAAATATGTTTAAATAGCTTTGTATAGTGATATATCTTGTAAATCTACTATTTTAAGGGACTTAAATTTGATTAAAAATTTATTTACAATAAAGTTGAGTTCGGTTTGTGATGATAGTTGTGGGCTATTGTTTGCTGATAAGATCAGATTTGTAGGACCCAAAATATTCTATACAATTTCAAATGAAGATGAAATGAATGTGACAGACTTATTCATTGACAAACAACTACAGGATTGAATATGAAAAGGCTGACACGTATTCCTTTGTATTACAAAAGTTCCAGACAAACATAAAATAAGCATTATAACATTTTGTTTTTTAAGTTTTAAAAATGATTATCCTTAATAAAATCCGCATAGGGTGGTATAAATTGAATTTTTATGGTATTTCAAACATAACCTACTTAAAAAATTGATTACTGGTATTAGAAATAAAAAACACAAAAAGGAAACTTCTCGCTAAAATTTCTTCCCATGTTCTTTTCTCTTACATGTATGTGCTTTACTCGTCTTTGTTTGTATGAACATATATTTGACAAAGGTTACATCGTAAGCAAACCTATGGAACCAATAAGCAGTTACGCAACTATAGATCGATCTGCATCATTTTTTTCACGTCATTTTTTAAATTTTAATTTCTCGAAACTCTAATTATTAAATACGCCCGTGCGTATTGGCGTATCGACAGATACGCCACTGTCAGAGGTTATCAAGCCTGCATATTACAGACAAGCTGTCAAAGGGCCAATTAAAAAAGCAGGACACATATACTTAGGGCGATTATACAGTATTCAAGTAAGGAATATTGGAACCACCAAACTAGAAAAAGCCAAATTGAAGGAACTAAAATACCACAGACACAACAATGATGTCGCGTTAAACGATCTTTAAGGATCAGAAATACAAGTATAACATCCTTATTGTATTAGCAGTTCAAACGTTGCACATTAGCACATAAACATTGTTACACATACCACATACAAAGGCTGCCCTTTGTGTAAAAACATACATCAATGTAATATCAATTTACCATAAGGTAATACAAGTTCTTGAGATCCAACCTATAAACATTCATTACATGATTGATAGAGGATATTGAATTAGTGTCAGTTTCATACTTTTATTACATTTATTGAACACGCATGCTACAAGAGCCTGCCCTGGCTGATTTTATTCAACTCGTTCATTAAGTAGATTAAAGTTTATTACTCGTATTTATTACAAAATTAAATTGGTAAGACGTAAATTGTTAATACGTACTAATAAACTTGAACCAGCTTAGTGTTTTAATTTTTTTTATTAACAGTCGATTATTAGAAATACTGCAATCCTATTGTACAAAAATTAATTTCAAACACTAAATTCAGTATTGAACCTACACATATGCAACATCCTTTCTGTAAAGTCCCATTTATAATGCACATTATAAAGATTATGTCAATTATAATTATGCACGATCACAAGAAAACAGTCTTTTACACGAGCTTCTAAATCTTACATCCAATATTCCATAAATAAGCGGGTTTACGGCACTGTTGATAAAATATGACCTCAGAAAAAAATTATAAACTGTTCTCTGAGTGTTGTCCAATGATTCTAGAAATGTTTTGTTCAATGAACGGGTCAAAAGCAATGAAATTACTGGTGCAAATGAGACAATAGCTGCTAATGACACCATAAACATGATTTTAGAAGTTTTGTATTTGTTTGACCTGTTCATAGTGTGACATCGATTATTTTTACTTGCTTTGAACTTTCTTTTTTTCACATCTGTTTCTTTATCTCTCTTTCCCGGGGTGTCATTCAAATTTGAATCTTGCTCAGATTCAAGCGTTTCGCCAGTTTGCTCTTCGGTCATTTCATAAGACATTTCAGTTGTTATTTTTATTCGGTTGCGATTGTCTTTGGTACCAATTCTGTCCTTACTGTCTTCGGTGTCAATTCTGTCCTTACTCTCTTCGGTGGCAATTCTGTCCTTACTGCATTCGGTGCCAATTTTGTCCTTACCTTTGTGTTTCCATTTCATCTGTCGCCTTATACGTACTGCTATACAGCTGTAGAAACTGAATATGACGACAAAAACTCCAACGAAACAGATGGCAAACGTTAAATTGTTAATAAAAGGAAATAGTGTTTCTTTCATATCATCTGTAACTGCACATTGAAAAATTGTAACATTATAAACTTTATGTTTTTCTTTTTTTATGTCATAAATAATTGCAGAAATCCAAGAACAAGCCAGTCCAACACCTACTGATGCCAGGCACATATATTTTGCTGCTTTAAGTGAAACTTGCCAATTCAAAGGGTAGCAAACTTTTCTGAATCTGTCAAATGCAATACACAGTAGGACGAAGCAAGATGTCATCGTTGTCCATGTATTCATTGAAATCGAAATCTTACATATCCATTTATTATCGTAAGTGTATCTATAAAACTGCATGACGAAATGTAGCGAAAGACATATACAGCATGTAAACAAATCAACCGAAGATACAAATGTTACAAAGATGCGGTATGTAGACCTGCTTACATTCTTTGCAAACACATAGCATACCAACGAATTTCCCACAATTCCGATCATACTTATAACAATAAGATAAATCATCAGTGGAATCTGTCGTTTTACTTCCTCGTTGTTTAACTCATTCAGAGTAACCGAATCATTTTGAAAGACCATCATTGCCTTACACGGTTGTTTCGATGTTTGGAAGCTCGATGCTTACAACTGCTGCATGTTGCCAACGTTTTTGCTTATCACACAGAATTATCAATGGTTCTTCATCTTACAATTAATTGTTAGTAACTAAAACGTACTATAATTGTATTTCTCATCCATTAAAAACTCCATTCAATGAGTAAACATTTCTTTTATTGTTTCGATCGTGAGTCTTCAAATAAAAATATACAGCTCTTTGTAATATGTGATACATACAGATACCAACGTGCTAAATACGAAACTCGGTCGGTCGTAGAAGGCGGACGGAAAGACGATACATTAATTATTCATAGCTCGAAACAGGATGAACAAAATAAAACAATACCTTTTTTTCCTTGTGTATTTTGCTTTGCCAAAAATCCTTCTTTGATACATCTATACCAATACCACTATTTGTCATTATATTACGAAATAGTTATCATCAACCATTTTAAATGCTACACAAAACTATACCAGGTGTTAATGACCTTAAACAATTGGTTAATTTTATCTAACAACTGTCAATGGCGTTCATATGTATAATATATCAAGGATAAAACATGAAAACTTGTAAATATTATGAGAAAAGTGAAATTTGTTCTAGATCATAAATATCTTTATATAATTCATACATTGTTTATTCGACCACTTGTTGAATATTCAAATGTAGTATGATGAAACGCATTTCAATATGAATTGATATGTAGACAAAACACAAAACCAATGTACTAGAATAGTTCTCTTTAAAAGTTTTTTTATAGATCAGGCGCTACATTGTTGTCAGAACGAAGGCTGTTTCTTCTGTCTCACAAAAATCTAGAATAATGCCAGGTATAAAGGTTTTCTAAATTTCTTTTATATCAGACCGCAGGTGATAAATACGATTTCAATATGCTCCCTTGATCATATGCGATACATGTCTATTGCTCAAAGCTTGTAATTATATATACCTGAATTGACTTCGTAATGTACGTGGCTTCTGTGTGAAATAATGTAGTGCAAAATAGCCTCACTTAATCAGTAAAACAATGAATTCAAATGACTTAATAATTTCCACACATTTGTTGTTGTTTTCTACCATTATAAAGTTTAACCTAGCCGCCTAGGAATCACTGACTTTGCATTTTGCGTTTTATGCTTACAGTGGGTACCCAATGACGCAATTTTATTTCGATAGTTTTAAAGAAAGCAGTACACTAGGGAAAACTATCTTTTTCGTCGTTTTATATGGTTTTGAAGAGCATATTAAAGTATAACATTTGTACTCTATTGACAAAACACAAATATGTTCATTGAGAAATTTTTTGTAGCAAATGATTTAATTACAGACAAAACATTACAATATTACATCTGCCCTTTAATAACCTCATACATTTTGTTCTCGTACAGGAATTATAGTCTGATTTTATTGACCTGTCAATTATGAATATACATTATAACACTCATTTAAATATTCTTTCCCACTTCGGTTCTCTTCGTGTAGTTTACGAGAATTAATTAGGAGTACAAATGTTTTGAAAAGTTACACCAGCTTAATGTTTTGCTATATAGGTCGTCGTCAAATTCGCAATAGCAAATACGGTTAACTAGTTGCCGAATATATGTGAGGTATGTGGTTTGATCCCGACAGTTGGCATTGTTTTAGATCAACTCTTTGTCCAATAGATCATATTTTTTGGTTTTGTATTTGTAGCTTCCACTACCTAGTCTATTTAAAGTAACCTTTAAATTTAATGACGACTTTAAGTACCAGTTGACGAGATTTGGGCATACCTTTTGAAAACTGTCCTCTTAACTTAAAGTTATTAATAATTGTTGATAAAGCATATAAAGGATGTTGAAATAACATGTGAATTAGGTTCTGTTTATGTAAAGCGTAAATATATATGTTTAAGATCATATGATATTTTGTATAATTTGTAACGTATAAAAATATAAATGTGAATTAATAAAAATCAAACTAAAACTTTAAATATATTATGCTAATCATGGAGCGATATGGCTGAATTACAATTGTAATCACATGATTGTTAGATAAGGCGCGATCTAGTTTGAAGTCAGTCCTACCAGCAGCCAATTGTATAAACGATGGTTAAAATATACCGCGGTAATTTAATTACCGTGGTATATATCGTGGTTAGGTTACCACACGGTTTTTCGAATTGTATAAACAAATTAACCACGCAGTTACCTAACCACGCAAAACCGAAAGTTTAACCGTGGTAATATTACCTATGATGCACCGCGACGTGACGTAATTTTCCCGAACAAATGTCAGACGGTAATATTTACAAACAAAATGGCGTCCACCACAAAAATAAATAGGGCAAGAATGTTCAATCTCCGTGAAACGGATGTGATAACAGAATTTATGAAAATCAATTTACATACGTTGAAAGCCAGCCATGCACAGGGAGGGCCTGGGGCTTCCCAAAAGGTGTCTAAGGTCTGGGATAGGCTTACGGAAGAGGTGAATGCTTGCGGGAACGGCCCCCGAACGAGCAAACAAGTTAAAGAAAAGTGGAGGAATATGGTTTGTTTTCAAGTTTTCCCTTTATCACATATAAGCAACCGGTTGAGATGTATTTCTTAAACTATTTGTTCTGAAATATTCAAAGGATTTGAAAGCTATCTTGTTGATTAATTTGTTTAAATCATTCAATATGGTGACAATGATATGTAAATTAGCTATACAAATAGGTCTGGAACAGGCTTGCCACAGACTGAGATTGTTGCGACATCTCAGGTCTTGCCGGTGTAACGTTGTAAAGTGACCCCCATAGAATAATGACCCCCCGGTCATTATTTTATATAAAATAATGACCCCCCGGTCATTATTTTATATAAAGTATTGACTCCGCGGTCATTATATATGACTGGGGGGTCATTATATTATGACTCCTCACACGTAGAAAAATGACCCCTCACGTAGAAATGTGACCCCCTATAGAATAAGGACCCCCCAATCCAAACCTTGACCTAACCTATCTAAGGTACACTTACACAACATAATTATCTTCATCCATAGACATCGGAGGAGTGATGGCACCCGTCCGTGCATGCGTCCATACTGCACGTTTTTTTACTGCAGTTAGATGGAATTGATCCAAGCTTCAGGGATTACCACTACCGATGCCTATTTGCGTGGAAAGAAAAAATGGTTAAAGTCTCCGACCGAGAATCACTTGCCCCTCACCGTTGTGAGTTCGGCGCCTACCAGGGTCGTGTATGGGTGACAGGCATACAAACTGTGCGC